TATAGAGTACTTACTATGTATGAGACAGTGGGCTAAGTAGTCAGCTTGTTTAATTAATTTGCATAACCATCCTATGAAAAAGATTATAATCATTGCCATTTTACAGTTAAGTAAACTGAAGATGTAATGGGCAACCTGACCAACTTTTCCTCAGTTAAGGAGTCAAAGACCTGGCTACATATCTAGTTTTGTCTAACTCCAAAAATCTAAGCTCCCAATCACTACCAACTCCTCATCCTAAGGAAGCAGCTGTTAGGAACTTCACAAATACTTTTTTAAGAACAAAACTATAATTTTAATATGGTGCACTTTCCAGTTGGCATAAAGTCCTAATCAAGATGAGAATTAATATCCTATAATACCTGCTGTAGTAGACTTTCCAACTCCACCCTTTCCAGAAGCCACAACTATAACTTGTTTAACACCGTCTATTGGTTTCTGCTTTGGAAGTCCTCGAGACATGATTTGTGTTCTTCTTTGTTTTAGGGTCTCACTCTCAGCACCAGAGAACTTAAGAAGAAGAAAAAAAACAGTTTTAAAACAAGCCATCTCCATTATCACGCTGTAAAAGCAAAAACAATTCGGTATTTGCAATTAACAGGGCTTTCTTTTCTACTCTAATTCTGCTCATCTCCACTATTTAGGCCTTTAGTGTTATTTACCTATTGCTATTGATCACAATTACACAGACACATTGTTTAAATTGAAATTTATTTGCCAGGATACGCAGACGTTAAAAATGGAAAGTAAGCTGCCTCTTTCCGGAGTTAAATCCTCCACGTGTTTTCCTTCTCTTTAACCTATTTTCTAAATAAACCAACACTAAGAAAACAAGTGCAAGTCACATATCCATGTTCTAACCATCTATTTTACGCCCCTCTAAGCCTCGGCCTGGTCCCACTGGGGGCCCGCCTGGAAAATGAGGACGTCCAGAACTGGGGTCTCACTGAGCCGCCAAGTGGGCGGGTGCCCACGAGGCAGTGAAGTGAGTCCTCGGCAAGAGGCAATTGCAGAGCACCCGCAGCCCTGGCGCCCCAGCGTCTCGGACCCGCCCGCCTCCACCTGCTCTGCAGCACCACGGACCTGGCGCCCCCAAACCAACACTCGGCCTCCCCCAAGCGGGACACAGGCCCCGCCGCAGCCCCGAAGCGACGCCCCCCCAAAAAGCAGCAAACGCCGCCAAGTCCCCATGACGCAGAATGCTGCCTTGAGCCCAACCCGGAAACCGTCGCGGCAAGCGCTGGGTGATGACGTCACATGGCAACGCTCGGCTTCCTCTCCTTAACGACTAGCCTCCTTTGAGTTTCTTCAACACAGGAATACAACTTGTTGTCGTGATCTCGTCTGTAGCCAGGTACAAACATTTTACAGCGTTTTACCAAATGTTTGGGAAGCATTTTCACGTACCTCCTCTAATTTGGCCCTCACAGGAGTTCTGGAGTAGGTAGGTAGGAGACTTTTACTAGGATCCTCTTTTCATAGGTAAGAAAACTGAGACTTAGAAAGTTTAGAAAACTGACCCAATTGAGACGTAGGAAATGGTGGAAGTTAAAAATGACTCCAGGCGTTCTCACACGGCAGAATATAGTCACTTAAACACTGCCACTGTTAAGGATTTTATCTTTTTTTTTTCCCCCTGAGTGATCTACAGTAATAGTCGGCTTTGTGTTGACATTTACTGCTGTGTTGCTGATAATCCTCTGAGAGAGAAGTCGGGGTGCTTTGCTAGGGTCGAAAAAGTTTAATTAAATCAGAAAGCGGGTCTAATGAAGCAAATTTCACTCAAGAAGCAACTTAAAGTGAGACAAAGCTTGAGGAAGGAGATGGAATTCAACCAGGTAAAAGGAAGGACATATCCCTACATTCAAAGAAGGTGAAAGTGAAAGAAATCGCTTTAGGAGAGAAAGCTGGAAAGCTGATACAGGAGCCCAGACCCAGCAAAAGAATCATTTAGGGTGTAGGGTGGTTTACCTTCGCATATTCTCCACAATATTTTCTAAGGCTGATTTTCATTTCTTTTATGTGCTTATCTGTAGAGAGTTTCTTGTGTAATCATTCAGTTTATTTTGCTCTAATCTGATCTTTAATTTCCTTAGTTTTAATATAGGCGTAACATATCAACCTCGAAGAATTATTGTAAGAATTAAATGAAATATTACCAGCAATATACATTCAATTTAGTAAGCAGTGAAAAGAATTTTCAGTTCCTTGCTTTTTCTGCCCCAATCTCACAACTTTGTCACTGCATTCAGCATTCTTACATTAGGTTTAACACCATTACTTATTGTTTTATATCACTTTCTTATTTTATTACTTTGTGATGTGTTTTCACAGTTAATTTTATCAATTTTTAAATTTGCATCTGCTCAATTTTTATAAATTATAAGCCAAAAAAAAAGGGCTAAGGGGAAATAGCTGTCAGAATAATCCATTTACTAAACAAGAAATATTGAATATCTCTTTCTCTCCAGATAGCTTTTCGAGTTCTTCCAGAATTCTACCAAAGATTCTTTCATTTAACAAATATTTATTGAGCAACTATTATGTACCAAGCACTACCCTAATCTTAGGGTTTTCAATAAACCTGACATAAACCTAAACCTAAACCTGACATTATCTTTCCACTCAATGACTTTACAATCCAGTGCAAGAGACAGAATAAGTTTACAAACAATTACAGTATGGTGTGATAAGTATAGGAGAAAATCACTGAGTGATACAAAAGTATAAAGGAGGGGCACTGAATTCAATCAGAGAAGGCTTCTGAATAGGGTAACATCTAAGCTTAATCCTGCGTGTGGGTAATGTGTAGGAGTCAGCAGGGAGAATGGCTACAGGGTTGTTGTGCAGAAGTAAGAAATGAATTGTTAAGAACTGCAAATAATCTGTGTGGCTTAAGGATAGACTGTGAGGTGCAAGACTGAAAGAGATAAGGATAGAGATTGGTAGGGTGATAGCTACCCAGATCATGAAAGACTTTATACATCATGCAAAGGAATTTGGACTTTATCCTGAGGGAACCATAGAAGGGTTTTAAGCAGGAAAGCAGCACGATCAGATTTGTGTTTTAGAAATACCACTATGATTGACAGGCAGAAAAAGGATAGGAGGGGTCAGATCAGAGGCAGGGAGACAGGAGGTTACTGTAGTAATCCGAAAGAGATGTTGAAAGCTTGACTTAACATCTCTAAATTTCACTTTGCTTATCTATAAAATAGATAATATCTATTTGTAGAGTTGTTATGCGGTTGAATTTAAAATAATGCACATAGAATGCCTATCACATAGTACACATACTCAATAAATATTAGCTGTTGTGTTGCTTATTGGGTTGTACAGAGTTTATAATATAGGCAACTAGATGAGCCGTACTGACACTCTGAGAGAGAGCATAAGGGGAAGAACAAGTGAGACCAATGTCTGTAGAATGAATGAATGGTTAATTTGATTTATCCTTCAGCAGATTAGGGTATCAAGAGAGTAGTAGAGCTGTCCATTGTTTCTTCTCCAACAACCACTGCCACACACACACACACACACATGGTCCCTTCTCAAGAGTATTCTCCCTTAGTTCCTAAGAACTGCTAAGTCATTTGACCCCATCCCCATGGTCACTGATTGGATTAAAGATTGACATACCACCAAAATTGGACCAATCATATTCTTTCCCCAGAGAATTTAAAGCAAAAGAGATGCTACTCAATCTTAGTTTGCCTTTGAACTGATAAGGCTAAAGTGACCATTTTCTACTTTGTATACAGAGAAGTAGAAAAAGCCAATGCCAAGAAAGAAAAATAAAGCAGACCATAAGAGATCATGTGCCCAGAAAAGGAAGGGATAACAGCTGTACTGATCCGTAACAGCTTTCCAGTTCCTGCTTCTAGTCCACAGTGAAGTTCAGCTATACTTCCTATCCTTAGGTCCATGAGATATACTTACATCCAACCAACAAATTCTCTTTCTACCTTGGCCTAATTTGGGTGGGTTTCTGTGTACTTGTAACCATGGTGAGATATATTTTGTAACATTTATAGAGGATTTTCCCCTTATAATTCCTTGTACCTCATATAGCCCTTCCCCATTCGGACATGACAAGCACAGTGGTGACAAACACAATGACAAAAGCCAATAGCTGAGGGTAACAAAGTGGAAGTATGGCAGGAAGATGAATTCCTGGTTATATAGTGAAGCTGCTATGCCAGTCCTGGCCTGTGTCTCCAGACCTCTTGTTGTGTGAGATAATTCATTGTTTAAACCATTGTTGGTTAGGATTTCTTTCATTTGAAGTGAGAAGAATCTGTGCCTATTACAGCTCCTAAGAAAGAACCCCATACACTTTTACTGCCTCTCCCCCAAGATTCAGCCCCAGTGAGGAAGGGGAACAAGAAAGCCCCAAATCAGTTTGGGGGATGTAAGAACAACAAAATCAATGCCCCCATTCCCAGATAGAACTCCGTGTAGTGGCAGGACCACAGAAGGAAAATGGTTGAGTGTTGTGTTTAGGCAGACAGCCTGAGGCAGCTTCATAGGGTTTGCCCCCTACAAAGAGCCACAGGACTGGCTGAGAGAAAGCTGATCCTTAAAGAGAGCTTAATGTCAAGAAAATGGTCAAGACTTGGCAACAATCTTCATGGTTAAGCGTGTGGCATCACAATGGATGCTGGTATGGAAAGAAAACGACCTTGAGGATTAAATTCACATCACCATGTGGACATCTGGACACTACATAGACACAACCCTGGTATCTATGGTGGAATCTGTACTTATCAAGATTAAGTTTCTACCACCCTGAGAGAATTTTACAAATACTGATCAAAACAAAGAGGATTGTTTTGTATGTCTCCTATGTGTGGGGTAATATCTTATACTGTTTTCTAGAAAGGAAGTATTTGTATCTGCTAGATTACCCTCCCTAAAATACATATATATCCATATATATATATACATATATGTATGTATATATTTATATTCTCAGGTGACCAAGGACTCATTGAAAGTTCAGATACCCACAAATGAGGAGCCTGCCTTATTCCCTGCCCATAAGCCTCAGGACTGCCTCAGTGTTTCATTCCTTTGCTCAACTCACTAAGGAAGAATAAGGTATTGTGGACAGTTTCCAGTCTCTGTTGAATATTCTAAACAAAGCTCGAAAACTAGTGCTAGTTCCTTCAGTTTAAGGTGACTGTCCCCAACTGAACCTCTCATCCTGTTCAAAGGGCTCCCTGAAAAGAAAACCCCACCCCATCTATGGACTTGTCTAAATGACAACCCCATTCATTGACCCTACTTTGCCCCATGGTGTGATTTGTTTCCATATCTCTCTATTCATGACTAAGCATGAAACTGGCTTTATCTTCATCTAATACAAATTTCACATTAAAATATAGAGTAATTCTGCTTAGGAGAATAGCTTCCCAATGAGCCAGTCTCTCTGTAGGAAACCTGGTCTAGAAAGTTTGTGGATTTTCCCATATTGAAGGCTTTGCTGGCCTTTCAGTACCTCAGCTCACATAAAGCAGTCCTGTCAAAGAAGCTCTTTGGGCTTCCCTGGTGGTGCAGTGGTTGACAGACCACCTGCCGATACAGTGGACACGGGTTCGTGCCCCAGTCCGGGAAGTTCCCACATGCCGCGGAGCGACTGGGCCCGTGAGCCACGGCCGCTGAGCCTGTGCGTCCAGAGCCTGTGCTCCGCAACGGGAGAGGCCACAACAGTGAGAGGCCCGTGTACCGCAAAAAAAAAAAAAAAAAAAAGAAGCTCCTCATTCTTATTTTTTTTAATTACACAAAGCAAATGTATGTACAGAGAGTTCCTATGAAACCTTTTGTAAGCTGAAATGGTGTAAGGCAAAGAAGCAATCATCTTAGGACACATCTTACTAACAGATGCACAAAATAAATCAAGATAAAGCACAGATGTTCACAGACACAGTTCAAAGCTATGGTAGCCTGATGCTGAGATGCTGAGTGTAGTTCCCGGAGAAGGAGCTTGGGATGCCACTCTCGCTGCTCAGGGAGGCACTGCCTCCATATCCACTCACTGTAAAATAAATGCTGAATGCTATTTTCACTTTTCACCTTTTTTCATAAAAGCAAAAATCCTCTTCAGATTTCTTTCATTTAGTGAAAATAGGTACTTATATAGGTCCTTCATAAAACCAAAGTGGCATAAAGTGAACTTTGTAAAAGAGGGGGAGATATCTGTATGTTCTTAGACTAAATGGGCATCTGGGAATACGCCTCCAAATGACTAAAAATCCACCTCTAGAATGAGACAGGATGGGTTTCTAAATGCCAGTATCCAAAGCAGGATAAATCATGGGTGATTTGACATTTGAATTTCTGATTTATAAGATTGAACTGAATCCTTGGACAAAGGTCAAGGGCTCATGTTATAACTGAATATAGTCTCTTTTTAATGCTTAAAGCTTCAAAGAAGATCCTATCCTGAAATGGAAGCCACACTATCAGAATTTAGGAAAAGTATTTGTCACCTCAGGCAAATACGTGTTATACCCAGGGCCTTAGTATTCCCAGGCTTTTGCTCTTTTATTTCATTTTCTCCAAGTACCAAACCTATATTTTTTCAGCCGTGTCCTTCCTACCCTTCAATTGCGTACTAGAGATGAGAAGACACAAGTTTCTACAAGACTTTGCTAAAACATTACTTCATTCTGTACTCGGAAGAGAATTTTCCTGTGTACTTTAGCGAACATTCCAAGGACAATGACAAAGCAGAGCCCCATCAAGATACCAAACCTACACTTCAGCTAATGTGAAGTTCTATTTTCCTCAGGAAAAAGGAGGTAATGTAGATTTTTGTCTGTTTTAAGCTGCGACCACAATGTGAGAATGTCCTCTATAATCATGTGGCTTACATAATATCTTAGTCTACTTGGCATTGTAGTACCAAATCTCGTCAATTCATTTATTGACCTTTCCTATTTAGGATTTATTAACCATAGATATTATACATGATATGTCATAATAAATTTTTGCAGGCACAAAATTTATTCAATCCTTTTATGTAAGTGAAGAACTCCTACCAAATCACTCTAATGTCTCAAAATATAGTCTGATTTAGAGCAATAGAACAGAAATACCGACATTAAGGGTTACAATATCAATGTGCTCTAAGACAGACTGGCAAACTTAAAAATATGAAGTGTATCTTTGTCTTCCAAAGCCTTCCACACAACTCTTAAGCTGTTGGAAATGCTCCAGTTCATACCAACCAACCTTACAGGCAGTATTTGGGTCCATTTTCCATGGCATCTTCTTCTGCAGCTTAAAAATAAAAACAAAATAGGATTTTCCTGACCACCCATTCAGGCTAAGGAACTTATTCTCAGTCATAGAGGCCATCCACTAACTATAACTCAACAATCCAAACACTGAAGTGATAATTACTAATCTCTCCCATCTTAGGCTTTCCAGTCTTTGCTAGTCTTCAAAACAGATAAAAATGTTTTTACACAGAAAATGTTCATTTTGTGCATAATTGTTCTAAATTGTTTAATAGCTGCTGTTTTGACTTGTTAAGAATACAAAGAGCTCTTTTAATTACCTGGTGAAGTTTTGTCAAGTACTCAAAGTCAACAACCTTATTACATTAATGCCACACTGAATCTCTTTTGTGAATTTCTAATCATATCCAAGAATTACTATTTTATTTAACTCGAGCTATTTTTGTGGGGCAACATGCTGGCATGTGCTGTTGAAAATGACATTTTTAATAGATATCATTTATCAATATAACAAAATCAACACCATTTGCTGCTGAAATATACCATTTGCAGCTAAAACATATATATATACATGATTGTATTTTCCTCTAACATTTTTCTGAAGTACAACTCTTTAGCACTTTTCCAGGGTCTGATGTAGGCTATCTCATTTCACAGCTGACAGCACTGGAGAAAGAGCAGAATAGTAAAGAAAAAGTAATGTGCTTAGTAGTTTACCTTTATTTGTTTGTGATACTGTATTGCTAACTGGAAAATTCTATTAAGCCATTCCCACCAATTCCTTCTGGATTATAGAATTAATTGAGTACAATTTCTTAGTGGACGTCTCTCTTTGTAGCTTATGTCATATGTCAAATTAATCAGTTCTTTTCCAACAGACTCTAAGATAGCCAAAATGATCCTTGTCTCTTGGCATTCACACCCTTGTGTAATCCCCTCCCCTTGAGTGTGAGCAGGACACGTAACTTGTTCTAACCAATAGAATACAACAAAGGTGATAGGATGTCACTTCTGTGATTACATTACATAAGACTGTAACTTCTAGTTTTCTAGGAGACCTCCTGGCTGGCTCTGACAAAGCAAGGTGCCATGTTGTAAACTGCCTATGGAGAAGGCCACGTGGAAAGGAACAGCTGACAGACAGCAAAGAACTGAGGTTCTCAGGAAAACAGCCTGCAAGGACCTGAATTCTGCCAGCAACCACGTGAGACTGGAAACTGATCCTTACCAGTTGAGCTTTCAAATGAGACTCAAGCCCTGGCTGACCCCTTGATTGCAGTCTTGTGAGAGATCACGAAGCAATGGATTCTGTTACATTCTGACCCACAGAAACTGTGAGATAATAAATGTGTTGTTTTAAGGCACCAAGTTCATGGTAATTGGTTACACAGCAATAGATAACTAATACTACTCAGTAACCCAGACTTCAATAAGAATATAGTCAAGGGGTCTTCCCTGGTAGTCCAGTGGTAAAGAACCCGCCTCCCAGTGCAGGGGACGCAGGTTTGATCCCTGGTTGGGGAACTAAGATCCCACATGCCTTGGGGCAGCTAAGCCCACCCGCCACAACTACTGAGCTCACACGCCTCAATGAGAGAGCCCACATGCCGCAAACCACAGAGTCCATGCACTCGGGAGCCCGCACGCCACAACTAGAGAGAGGAAAAACACGCATACCACAGCTAGAGAGAAGCCCGTGCATCAACGAAAGATCCCGGACACCTCAACAAAGACCCCTCATGCTGCAACTAAAGACCTGACACAGCCAAATAAATAAGCAAAATAAATTTTTAAAAAATGCATAATCCACAAAGAAAAGATTGAAATATTTTTTTAAAAAATAAGAATATAGTCAATGTATGATCTCTTATAGGTGATTCTCTTTTTATTTATTTTTTTTGTCTGCATTGGGCCTTCGTTGCTGCATGCGGGCTTTCTCTAGTTGCATCAAGGGGGGGCCACTCTTCATTGTGGTGCATGGGCTTCTCATTGCAGTGGCTTCTCTTGTTGCAGAGCTCGGGCTTTAGGTGTGCAGGCTTCAGTAGTTGTGGCTTGCAGGCTCTAGAGCGCAGGCTCAGTACTTGTGGTGCAGGGGCTTAGTTGCTCTGTGGCATGTGGGATCTTCCCAGACCAGGGCTCAAACCCGTGTCCCCTGCATTGGCAGGCAGATTCTTAACCACTGTGCCACCAGGGAAGTCCCTCTCTTTTTTTTTTTAATTGAAATATAATTGACATAAAAGGGCAATTCTTTTTTGCCATATGAAAAAATATGCATATTTTGTTAAGAAATCAAGTCCTTTGTGTATTTTGAACATTTGTCAAGAGTTAAATGTTATTTGATCGCTGATAATTTATTAATTTTTATAATATTAATTATCAAACCTCATAAAATAAGATTATAGTATCAGATGCTAGAGAATAGGGACATGGAGGCAGTGAACTGAAGACTCTCTTTACATCACAAACCAAGATCTGTTTTTCTTAGTAACAACTGAACTTACTTCTTTTTGTATGTGTGTGGATTTTTTATTTTTTTTAATTAATTTCTATTGGAGTATAGTTCATTTATAATGTTGTGTTAGTGTCTGCTGTTTAGCAAAGTGAATCAGTTATACATATACATATATCCACTCTTTTTCAGATTATTTTCTTATATAGGTCATTACAGAGTGGATACAGATATGAAGAAAGTCTTTTTAACAATGGTACTCAAACAACCCTGACTCCCACCAAACACCATCAAGGTGGATCATAAACCCAAACATAAAAGTCGTGTCTTAGGAGTAGTCAACAGTTTCTTAGATGGGTCATAGAACACAATAACCATTAAAGAAAAAATTGAAAAATTAAGCTTGATCAAAATTTAAAACTTCTCCTCATCAAAAGATACCATTAAGAAAATGAATAGGGACTTCCCTGGTGGTGCAATGGTTAAGAATCCGCCTGCCAACACAGGGGACACGGGTTCGAGCCCTGGTCCGGGAAGATCCCACATGCCGCAGAGCAACTAAGCCTGTGCACCACAACTACTGAGCCTGCGCTCTGGAGCCCGTGAGCCACAACTACTGAGCCCACGCGCCTAGAGCCCGTGCTCTGCAGCGGGAGAAGCCACCGTGGTGAGAGGCCTGCACACCGCAACGAAGAGTGGCCCCCGCTCGCCACAACTAGAGAAAGCCCGCGCGCAGCAACAGAGACCCAACGCAGACAAAAAAAAAAAAAAAAAGAAAATGAATAGGCAAGCCACAGATTGGGAGAAGATAATCACAAAGCATGTATCTGATAAGGACTAGTTTTTAGAACAGCACTGTCCAATATGCTAGTCATTAGCCAATGTAACTATTTCAATCTAAACTAATTAAAATTAAATACAATTAAAAATACACTTCCTCGGGCTTCCCTGGTGGCGCAGTGGTTGAGAGTCAACCTGCCGATGCAAGGGACACGGGTTTGTGCCCCGGTCCGGGAGGATCCCACATGCCGCGGAGCGGCTGGGCCCGTGAGCCATGGCTGCTGGGCCTGCGCCTCCGGAGCCTGTGCTCCGCAACGGGAGAGGCCAAAACAGTGAGAGGCCCGCATACTGCAAAAAAAAAAAATACACTTCCTCATTTGCAGTAGCCACATTTCACAATAAATATATTGGACTATGCAGAAAATTCTATGCGACAGAACTGATCTATAATGTAAAAAAAAAAAAAATACCCACGATTCACAATAAAAAGACAGCTCAACTGAAAAATAGATAAAATGTTTGAAAATATGTTTCATAAAACTGAAGATAGGGACTTCCCTGGTGGCGCAGTGGTTAGGAATCCGCCTACCAATGCAGGGGACACAGGTTCGATCCCTGCTCCAGGAAGATCCCACATGCCACGGAGCAACTAAGCCCGTGTGCCACAACTACTGAAGCTTGCGTGCCTAGAGCCTATGCTCCGCGACAAGAGAAGCCACCACAATGGGAAGCCCATGCACTGCAACGAAAAGTAGCCCCTGCTTGCTGCAACTAGAGAAAGCCTGTGCGCAGCAACAAAGACCCAACAAAGCCAAAAAATAAAAAAATTTTTAAATTAAAAAAAAAATGTGAAGATACATTAATAGCCAGCAAGTACGTGAAAAAAGTACTCAACATTATTAGTCAACAGGGAAATTAAAATTACAATGGTATATCAGTTACAACACACCACTAGAATGGTTAAAATTTAAAGGAATGACAAAACCAAATATTGACAAGGTTGTGGGGTAACTGAAACTTTCTTATGTTATTGGTGGGAATTTAAAATGGCATAACCACTTTGGAAAATAGTCTGGCATTAGAAGACCTAATTATACAACTATCCTATGACCCAGCAGTTCCACTCCTAGACATAAAATGAAAACATATTTCCCTCAAAGACTTGAATGCAAGTGTTCATAACAGCTTTATTCATAATAGCTCCAAATTGAAAATAGCCCAGATGTACATAAATAGAAGAATGGATTTTTAAATTGTATATTTATAAATAACAAGCAATGAAAAGGAACAGACATGAAACAACATAAATAAATCTAAAAAACATTATGCTAATGAAAGAAATCTTACACATGAGAGCACATACTGTATGATTCCATTTATATCAAATTCTAGAAGAGGCAAAAATAATCCATGGTGGAGAAAAAATTAGACCAGTGATTTCAGAGGAGGTGAGGGCAGAGATTATTTGGAAAGGGGCATGAGGGAAACTTTCTGGAGGGATGGTAATGTCCCATATGTCATAGTGCTTTGGACTACCCATACCTATGTGTAAAAGTCAGTGAATATACACTTAAGATTTGCACATTTCATTACATGTAAATTTCACATTTTAAAAACTGTACTGAACTCTAGTTATTGGTTCACATACTGAATGAAGTATTTAGGGAGAAGAATACTGTTACCTGCTATTAACTTTAAAATGCATCAAAAAAATTAGATGGGTTAATAGATGGATAGACAGATGAACAGATGGCTATGTGACAGAACAAGTAGAGTAAAAAGTTAATAGTAAACCTAGGTGGTATGAATAGGTTTCACTGTAGAATTATTTCACTCTAAAATTCTTTCAACTTTGCTATATGTTTGAAATTTTTATAATAAAATGTTGGTGAGAAAAAAAAGCTACCCCAGGCCTTCCAAAGACAGAATTCCAGTATTAAATCTCCAAAATAAAAATTAAGACAAAAATATAATGTCAAAATCATATTTTCCCTTGCTCTTTTCCACAGCTTCATCGTACAGGTCTCTGAGCTGCACTTCTCTATCTCATATGAGATAATTCCATCCCTTCAAGGATTCTGAGTGTTATCAAAAAAGAAACACTCAGGATCTTTGCAACTGCAATTTTTACTTAAAGCTCTGTTTTTATCTTCTGTGCTTTTATCTTCTGTGCATGTTCTGATTTAGAGTTTCTAGATTTTGGTAATCCCACCCAACTCAAAATGGGGGGACTTCCCTGGCGGTCCAGTGGTTAAGACTCCATGCTTCCATTTCAGGGGACAGGAGTTCCATCCCTGGTCAGGGAACTAAGACCCCACAGTGCGGCCAAAAAAAAAAAAAAATCAAATCAAAATGGGGATGAGCACTGACTAGTAATATTATTTCCAAAAATAAAGTACAAACAAGGAGTCAGGAATAAAAGAAAATGATTTAAAAAGAATGTAAATAATGCTATTCTCCAGTAAAAGAGTACAGTATAAAAAAGGTGGAGGGAGAGAAAATTTACAGTAACGAAACCTGACGAACACTACCTCAGCCAGGTGATCAAGTCAACATCAACAGAGAAAGGTCATGTTGATCGTATGTACCTGTTATATAATAAAGAACTTGACGGCCCTTTATCCCTAGTTCCTGGGAAGGAGACTCTAAATCCTTGGAATTTCCCATGTGATAGGGGTATCTTTGTTATTCATGAGTCCCTTGGACCATATCTGAGTTTATGCTAATAACTTAGGATGGAAGCTGGTCAGGCCAGAGAGACCAACTATGTGATTAGAGGGTTGGGTCTTTGAGCCAGGTGATATCAGCCCAGCCTGACCCCATCCATGGAGGGGAGGTATACTGGAGACTGAGTTCAATCACATGGTCAATGATTCAGTCACTCATGCCTATGTAATGAAATCTCAATATAAATGCAGGACACCAAAGCTCAGAAGAGCTTCCTGGTTGGTGAGCACATTGATGTGCCAGGTGGGTGATGCACCCTGATTCCATGGGGAGAGAGCATGGAAACTCTGTGTTGGAGATCCTCCCAAACTGCTCCCTATGTGTCTCTTCACTTGGCTAGTTCTGATTTGTATCCTTTATAATAAAGCTGTAATCATAAACATACCTCTTTCCTGAGTTATGTGAGTTGTTTAAGTGAATTAGCAAAACTGCTAATTCAGGGGTTTGTGGGAACACCTGAATTTGTAGCCGTTTGATCAGAAGTGCAGGTGGGCAGGGAAACCCCAAACTGGCATCTGAAGCATGGACAGTCTTGTTGACTGTGCCCTTAATCTGGAGTCTGTGCTAACTCCAG